TTCCTGATTTGATGGAATGTGTCTGGAGGTGGTACCCAGACTGAATTGATGATGTCCACATGCAGGTCCTTCTCTCAACCCAGGTGACCGTCGTCGCCCGACCCAAACGCCCCTTCCCCCGGTAACCAGGCGTTGATGGGACGGAGTGGTACCGATACGACGGCGGTACCGAGGCCCGCGGTGTGGCATCGGCCACACGGGAAAGCGTTGGATCATCAGCCCCTTACTTTGCTCTGGAGGCAGGGACCAGCGGTCGATGTTCGACTCGGAGCAGGGTTCGGGTTGGTCGCTTGTGGCGTGTGGTGACGAAAAGACCCTAGTTGGTAGCGAAGGAAGCATGGCAGAAGGGTGCCATGATGAAGAAACACCTCCTCGATGTTTGAGGCGAGATGGCGAGATGAGGCGAGTGTGTGTGTGTGTGCGTGCTTTTATTTAAGGCGAACATTGGGTGAAAAAATGACAACATACCGAGGAAATCCCTCAGGCATTCCCTCAGTTTTTTCTATTGGAAACGACAATATTAATATCGTGTCCAATGTAGGGTTCACTCTCAAAACTATTATGTGGGACCCTCACTCCAACATCCTCCAACAACTGGTTTTTGTTGCTTTGTCCTCTTGCCATGACGAGTTTTCACGTGTTTTCAAGTGTTTACCCTAGCCTTCCGTTTGACCACTCAAAAGATTGGAACGACCTAGCTTAAGATCCTTGTGGTTGGTACTGTAAAACCCATTAAAGCTACGGCTGTTGGAAACCCGCAAATTACCTCAATGATCCCATGATAAGGTCGGTTGGACATGTTTTGGCCAAGATCGAAGATCGATTTCGTTCATGTCATTGGCCATGCCACAGACTCTCAAAGCCCACAACATGTTTAATATATACCTGCCAATGTTTTCTTCTTGGTTGTTTTTTTTTGCATTTGATGAAGCAGAGGAGGACCTGAAATCGCCCGAACAACAGTGCACAACTAACCAATTATTGTCCTCTAACCATTCCAGGCCACTTTCATGACCATATGGCCGCCTCCGGCATTCCGTGCCTCTGACCTGTCTCTCCGGCTGCGCTTCACACACACATACATACCCTTTTCAGCGTGACAGGCTTCAGTCTGGCCTTCTACGAGACGGAGGACGGTCAAGCACCACCTTTGGACGACGTTTGGAACGTGAATTGTGGTAGGCGCAGACGAACGCGCGAGGTCCCGACGCGAAGAACACGCGATCGACGCGATACCGGTCGCGTCTTGTCTTTTTCGCATGGTGGGAGTGATCACTCTGGAATAAAGTAGATTGACATGTAGTGGATGCTTATGGAACCTCATTGGACACCCCTTTGGATTGTGTAGGTCGCTCCATGTCCGACAGCCCAGCCACTCCCGAAGGAATGGATATTGGTCAGATGTCAGCTTTGCTCCCTAAAGAGCAACATGCTTTGCTACCCGGAGATCTAACCCGCTGTGTTTTTTTCACAGCGGTTCGGTTCAACGAGCGATGTATTGTTTGACATGTTTACAATAGTATATATACTATTGTAAACAGTATTCAAGTGTCCATCCATTCCGGCATGGTGGTCAGGATGTCCGTTGCTGAGGACCTTGGGGTGAGATGAGAGACATTTGGACTCACCTATGCTCAACAAAGATATGACAAAGGAGATTGCCAAGGAGGATGCTTCCAAGTTTCTGATCTGTTCAATGATAACCATTAATAACCATGTACATTTTTACACTACTGGTCTCTCGACAAAACTTTGGAAACCACACTGGAAATGGCCGCTTCCCTGCGGGAAACGGCCGCAGGTTGGGCTGGAAGAGAATGGCCTTGGACTTCAATGTGGTTCCTTTGCCGCTTGGGCGTGCAAGGGGAATTTACTGCGCACCGCTGCGTGAACGCCTAGTGCCTGCTGTAGGGGTCCAGAAAAGTAACTAGGTGACCTGAAGTCTTATCTGGCCAAAACACACTTGAAACTACCAAACTACCTGGACCCGACTTCAAGTACCATGGGACATGACCCGAACATTACAAACAGGTACGACTGTACTGATTTTCTGAGGTATGAACGGGTCGACTTCAACAACACATCACATGTGAAATGGAGTTCACTCTCCCGTCTTCGTAGCGGAAAGGAATCATCCTTTGTTCTTTCACCATGCCATCCACTGTGGATCTCTTCGTCCGTAAGCTAGTGCCAGTGGTAAGGCCGTCGCGCTCCCCTGCCGCTCAGTCGGCGCTCAGTCGGTGCTCGCTGGTGAAGTTCAAAAGGAACCGACCACGTCCTCCGGGTTCGCGCCGAGGGAGAACGCGAACCTGTCCCATCGCGTGGCCGCGCACGGTCTTTGTTTCGGCGCCCAGTGGCCGGGCATCGTTTCGGCTTGAGGATTGGGCGGATCCGCACCGATGGCGGCTTTTGCCTCCAAGCCTGGCAGATGAGAGCCCTGCTGCAGCCCTGCAACACGGACGAAGCACAGCTGCCACTTGGAGAGCCGCCGTTGGTCGGTCGAGGTTGGCTAGAACAGCTGGGCATAGCTGGGCCATTGATAGGTCGAGTTGGAGCCGTCGGATATGTTGGGAATTGCATGGCCTTGGCCTCGAGTTTTGGGTGGCAGCAATTGACATGTCAGGTGGGAGACAGCACTCTTTTGGTTTTTGATGGAACCAATTTTGCTCTTTTGACATCTTATAGATCCTTTGTGATTTGGGAAGTTGAATTTTGCCCAGCCAAGACATGTGCTTTTCCTCTACGGCTCTAACCCGGTCGAAGAACAATCATCGCGATGACTTCCACGTGTTGG